CAGATACCGTCTCGGTTGGTTGGAGTGGTTGTTTGGGCGGCAATTGAAAGTCGGGTTGAAGGAGTAAACTGAAATCTTTAATCTGGCCACTTTGCTGCAAATTGGCCAGGTTCTGTGCCGCATGCCCCAATTCCAGTAAACTTTCGGCGTAGATCCGATTATCTTCATTGCTGAAAGATCCCTTACGTTTTGCAGTCTCTTGTATAGCGACCAAACGGGCCGCAGCTATTTGTATTCGGTTAAAATCCTTTTCGAAAGCGGTGGTCGCAGAAGCTATGTCCTGAGATTGACCATTACCTGTGGACATGGCTTTTTTTGTTAAAACTGGTACTACGCTGACCTGAGGGACAGCTGGAGCTATGATAAACGTATTGTCGTTTCCATCTTTGGTTCTAACCACTTGCAAGATTTGGCCACGCATACCACCATAATAAGGGAATGAGCTTGCTTCGAAAACTATGGGACCTTTTGAGCGCTGGCTATTAATTATTTTTGATAGGATGGATTCATAAAATAATTATCAAAAACACCACTCAAAACAAACTTCAAACTACAAAGCCAAAAGGGTTCTAATAGAAAGCTTTCTGCATATAAATACATACATAGAAAATGTTCTTACGCAAGGACTTCAACATAGGTAGGTAGGTAACTAGATGGCTTTATAATACAAATGCAGAAATTGAGCACTAAATAATTACAAATTTCTATTACATATTTATGTATGTATGGATGTTTTATATTTACAATTATTTACATCATAATGATCTTAACAAATAGAAGCTTATAAATACTTAACACATTTACATATGTATGTGTGTATGTACATATGTACAACAGCAGGGTTTTACTTTATTTCCGCGAGTCCGAGTCCACCAAATCGAGCTCCAAGTCGGCCTGAGCATGCGCTTTGCCACCAACTCCGGCTATTGCCACAGACTCGGGACTGAAGTAAACGTTGGTGGGAACTCCCCGTTTTAGGAAGGCCTTCGAAATAGGTGTAGACACAGCCGTACCACCATTTCCTACCACAGCTTTTGAATGCGGTTCCAGTATTAATGTTGAAGTCTTTGTGATATCTTTTTGGGTGTGCGCTTGGTATGGAAGAAAGTAAGTACCGAACGGTATTTTCGGTATTGTGCCCGAAGTGGCTGTGCGCCCTTGAGCTTCCACTTTTATTTCTTCACCGTTTGTTGCTATCGGCTCCGATAATGAAGGTTTTGCTTTGCGCAGAGTCGATTGTTTTTTCGGTGAAGCTGTGCTTTTTGATACCAACTTAGGAGGCGCCTGTGAAACTGTTGATAACTTAAGAGGCTTTTTGTACTTTTGCGCCGAAATCGCCGAACGTATGTGTTGGCCAGGGACAAAAATTATTTCTTCAATCACGAATTCCGGGTTTATTTTCTGCACGGCTTTTAAAAAACGCATATCGCTTTTGAAATCCGCCCTACCTGTGAATGGGTGGGTGTTCATTACAAATTGCTTTTGGATTCCTTTCGCTACTCTGGGCGCTGATATTTCGATTGACTTTGGTTGACTCGATATTTTTTCTGTGATTTCTTCGTAATCTTGACCTCTTGCTTTATGAAGGAGTTTTCCGGTCCCTTCTGCGCTTAAAAGTGGCAACGAAATGGAGGGTAAAGCTAAATTTTCAATGTACATTGGTTCATCAATCTGCAGATATCTATTTCTTTGAAAAACGTCCTTCGTTTCAAAATTTGGGATTCGATGAACTACGTTATCAAGTTTGAAATACGCAGTTGGTGCCACAGCTAAGGCGATGGGGGTTAATGGTGATGCTGTTATGACAAGAGGATTTGGACGAATCGTCTCCGGCCACGTTTGAATGTTTGCAGTTTTCCAAAGAATGCTGGTATGTAGTTTATGTGAATGGTAGGAAGCCAATGGCGATGGATGGACGAAGGAAAATAAAGTTTCACAAATGTAAAAAAGGAAGAGAGTACGAACAGAATGAAGCATGAGTCCTTGTTCAAAATATTTACAATAACAATATATGGCAACACTACCTGAGGCAATGAATGATTTAGCGTATTTAGCGTGCGAAAGATGGTAGAAGGCATTAATAATAATAGATAAGTGGTGTGATGTTAATCATGAAAATTTAGTGCTCAGTGTTGTCTAACTAATAGCATGCCAAAATGTAATGAAATGCTATAAAACTTTTAAATAAATTAAATTTAATGTATAATTTGCGTTTTTATACAACTAATTATGAAATACGCACTAGATCTAACGCTTTTAATTAATTACAACAATAATTTATTCTCAGCATTTTTGTTCATAAGACGTAATCAGCTTCACCCGTCGCCGGTGAATAATAAACCGTCGGACCAATGGCAACAATCTTTCCTTCACGCGGAATACTTTGGTCGTTGAGGTTGGTTCTTTCGAGAGCATCCTTCAAATCCACGCTAGATGGAATGGCGATCACCTTTGCCCCCGGTCCAGCAATGGTCAGACTTCGTGGATGTGTAAGCGCAAAGCCACCGGGGCCAACAATAGCGGTGCCACCACTACCGGCGGTCGCCACACCGCCAGGACCCGCAATTGCGATTCCACCCTTTCGCACCTTCAAGCGTTGAATAATAATCCCGCCCTGCTTGATAGCTTCCATTTGTGTTGTTTGCTCTGCATTGTGTCGGTTGCCAAATATTTGTTTCTCCTCATGCTCAGCGGAACTGTCCTCTTCATCCTCTGAAGCACTGTTACTCGATTCGTCACTCCAATGATAATCACTCCCTTTCTGCGGTTGTTGCGGTTGTCCGATAACCTCATATAACGGTTGTACTGGCTGATAGGCCTGCGTTGTTAGAAAAGGCTTGGGTGGCATTTGCAAAAATTGATTTGACTCGTGTGTTGCCGCACTCGCATCTGGTTTGTTCTCCTGGCGAAATGGGAATTTGAATATATTTTGGAAGGCATTTTTTATCGCATTGCCAGCGGTAGAATTCTTTAGGTCAACTGGTCGAACGACGTTAGCAAGATTGGGGATATTTAAGGTGCCAATATTTGGCACATTGTAAATATTCGAGTTTTGATTTGGGCTATTGTTCACTATAGGTTTACTATTGGTGTGGGTGTTGGTGTTTTGATTGGTTGCCGCTGGCGAATTGCCACCAAAAGGAGTCTGTTGTTCCATCATTTCACTGACGCTAGGTTCCTTTTCCCTCAGCGGTTTAGGTATAATGCGTTTTCGAATAATTTGCGTTGTAACATTCGCACTTGAACCTCCGCCATTGCTGCTACTTGTTGCTGTCGTTTGTATTTTATAAGGCCTTTGAATGCCAATCACCTTTTCCTCCCTCGAACTATTTTCGGATGATTGCTCCTTTGCTTTTAATTTTATTTCAGAGCTTTGCGAATCTTCGTTCGACGCTACCGCGCTCGGTAAAAAAAATAGATGGCTTTTAGCTGGGTATTTAGATTTTGAATCTGTCGATGACTTGTTCTTTTGAATAGCTTTGCCATAGAAATCGCCAATATCACCGACAATTTTATATCCCTTCATACGATACTCTTCAGGTGCGTTCATATGAATATACTCATCTTTACTGAGTCTGTAGAGACGTACCGGTATTAGGAAATGTGTACGCAATTTAACTTGTTTGTCGATTTCTGGCAGTGTTGGTAGCGCTGCCTGGTTCGGGTGGGAAATGTGTGTATTGTATTTTGTTTCAATCGTTTTGGCGTGTGGATGCTTGGGCGGAGCTGCATCAAAGGCAATGGATTTAGAATTTGTATAAGGAGTTATGTATTGACTGTGCAGCGGAACGGATCTTATAGATGGAATTAGTATTGTTCCTCCATTCATGCCAGATGTTTGATGATTTTGCTGATGGAAGGGTTGCATTGCCGGTTTGGGAAACAGATACTGGCTTGAGTCCAGAATAGGTGGAAGCTTGGACTGTTCAGGTTGTTTCCGAACATACCCAAATGCGTGGTTAATCTTCTCTATTTCGTGCAGGATGCGTTGAGCCTCATCAAACTTGGCCACTTCTGTGTCGGAACTATTACTGGTGGGATCCGTGCGGGACGTCGAATCTTCATCAGGGAATTTCACCAGTCTTTGTTTTGCGATTCTGCGAACGAAAATTGCAAGCAATGGGTGGGAACTTATAAAAACTAAGAAGCTGAGAATAATTCTAACAATGGTTTGTTGGTTGGTGTAAAAACAAATTGCCCTTTGATAAGAGATAATTTGTAATTATTGTCGAATATGCACGCATGAATCGGCTGTGATGGTATTAGTTTAGTCACATTGTAGTGGATGAGAAATTAGACTTTGCAATAATATTGATGATTTTTCTTTCTTAAACGAGATGCAGTCACACATATGTATGTATGTATGTATGTCTGTATGTATGTATGTATGTAGTAATGGCCATATGACAGTTTCAAAATAGCGATTCAAAGCAAATGCGTTGAAATATGTAAGTATATTTACTATGTGAAGAAGACTCATGAAATGTTATATATAAAATAATAAAGATCAAAACAATTCGAGGTAAGCACAGAAATATTTAGGCATCACACTATTTGAAGTACTTTCAGGATAGCTGCGATAGTTCAATGTCCATAATTGGCTAGCTGTACTTACTCGACACCTACATCGCTGACCTCGACCGGCAACGCTTGCGCTGCACAAAATACGGCAATAATCGTCGAAAATATGAGCTGAAAAGAAAACAAACTTTTTAGTTAATTTGTGCTTTTCCTCTTCTATGTGAAAAATTTTACATATTTTATGTAATCTACATATGTACCTACATATACCCTGCAGGGACCCCCCGGACTAGTGAATCAAATTTCTAGTTCCGTACTAGGTCTTTATCGCCAAAAAGGAACTAGACCGATAGGAACTAGATCCCCACCAGTCCAAAATCGGCGAAAAGTGGTACTTTTAAAGAACTAATTTTTTTCAGTTTTTTTCACTAGAAATCTATATCTAAAGTGACGAAGTTAGAAATGGTTCGGAACTATAGAAAAAGGGATGCAGCGGGGGGCTTGCTTACTTTACATAGATATGTATTCGGCGGCTTTTTCGTTCAAATGCGCTTATATTCTGTGCTTCGTAGATGCTTTTTCATAGCTTGGTTTGAATTTTAAAACAAAAATTTGTGTTAACATTTTAACATTTTGGGACCCTCTGGAATCTAAGAAATAACAGCGAGCACCTCTGCAAACTCAGCTACAGCTAAAGGTATGTAAACGTACATTTCGATTTTAGAACTGGTTCGGAACTATAAAATTTAGGACTAGTTCGGAACTATCGAAAAAGGGATGCAGCGGGGGGCAATTGACACTTCCTAGGACATCGCCGTGTTAAATTCGCCAGTTGCTTGCATGCAAAAGAGATTTATCGCGACCCAGTACTGGGTCTAAATGTACTAGAAGCGCACCAGTTCAGAGCTAGAGATTTTCCCCACAGGGTATATATATTATACATGCATAAGTATTAGTACTAATAGAAGCAAAAATATGCTTACCATATTTTTAACACACACATGTGTGAACATACATATGTACATATATACACTCCGCTTCACTCGAATATTTAATTTGAATTTCTTCAAAAGGAGGATTTTATTTTTACATGAATTTAACCTTCGACCGAGTTGTACTTCGAGGTTCGCGATGTCGCTTACCAAGAATCTGTAGGCAATGACTCCGAAATATACATACGTATTTAGCTAATTCCATTTCAAATTAAGTTCCCATAGGCTATAGAGTTTTGTATACTACTAGAAAATTTAGTTTTCCAAATCCAACCTATTCATTATTACTGTCACAATTTTCATAAATTTTTCGGATTTCATTTCCTTGGGGCACTAAAAGTGGCAAGAAGCAAGGAGCCTTTAAATTAATTGAAAGGCTTCTGGAACAGTCTCTCTAACTGTTTTTTTCCATACATTTTAAATAAGGAGATACACCCCGCTTCACTAGAATAGGTATTATTATTATATATTTTCCTCAAGATCCAAGCTTATATCTGGACTTGTCAGCATTAGAGAAGTTTATTTTCGATCTCATTTTGAAGAGTGAAAAATTTCGAAGAAAAATGGTGAAAATTAATAAAACGGCTCTATTGCTTTGGATTTCTTTTTCCACTTTTTATCAAACTACACGAAAATTATGCTTATCGTTTTGATTCACTTGAATAAGCACAAGCCTCCTTATGTGTATAGCAAAGTTATTTAAATTTCACCTATAACCTCTATAAGAATTTAAAGGATAATTATAACTATAACAGAGCAAGAATGGACGAAGCAGGCGCACTTTCAACTGCATAAAATGCATAAATGGAGGGATTCATGGCTCCAGGACTTTGCAGGCGATCTTTTGGTGACAAATCTGAAGGAAATACAAATGCTTTTGACAGCTGAAGCCGGCTCACAGCATCGCAGGAAAAAAAACCTAAAACGGAGCCAGAACACAAAAGTTAGATGGAAATAACAAAATTCCTTTACGAGGTCAGCATCTTGCTGTCGACGATAGTGGACTAAAATGGAAGAAAAATGTTGGTGTTGATAACACCACAAGGGAATTGCGAATTACTCTATACAGTTGTGTTCAGAAAATGTCAAAAAAGGACATAAATTTTACTCGCATGCCTGAAAGGACATCTAGAAAATGGCAATTTTCTCTGGCGAAAACTTTAATTTTGATGGCAACAACGAATTTAATAATAATTGTAAAAAATCGTGAAAGTACGAACGTTGCTTGATTCCGCTCCAGAATACTCTCTTCTCTCTGGCGGTCTGAACTGCGGTTTTGTAGTCCAGAGAAATTGAGCTTATATTTACAGTTTCCAAAATTACGAATAATTCATGCAAAACAAGCATTAAGGACATTTTTTTACATTTGTCGCATATTATCGCACCTTGTTCTTGAATATACCAGCAAAATTACGCACCCCCGCGCACTACAGGAGCTGTAAAAACGAAGATAACGAAGCAAAGCCGCAATTTTTTCAGGGTCTGTCCTATTCAAAGGATCTAAACTTAACGGA